GGATCCTGACGGGGGGGGATAATGCCGCGCTAATGCAAGCAAGCTGTTGTGCTGAAGACACCTACCTTACCAGATTCTGGGTCTGAAAAATCTCCGACCAAATCCGATCCCCGGACTTAGGGATTGCCAGGCTCTTTCTTATGTCAGCTTGAGCCGTTGGGATTGCCGAATTGAACTAAAGAGAGCCAGACCCGTGGTGACGTGGTCCAGACCTGTAGCATAGCAACAGTGCGCGGCTCCTTCACCTGGCAGACTACCTAGTAGTGCCTAGTCTCAATCCGTCAACAAACAAGGACAATCCGGGCAGATCCGGGCCGGACTTCACTCGGAGTCTGCGAGCTGCCATTGGCTGGTCCCCATGCTACTGTAAGTACTACATAATTCCAGAGGGTCACGGACCTTACTACTTGAAGAATTCATGGCCAACCATCCATACTTGCAGACGTTTGCGAATCGATAAGAAGTAGTGGTGGTTTGTGCCGAGAATGTGCCCGTTTGAGCGCGGATTACTTGGCTAGACTTATTTTTGGAATTCTTAATCCTTATTCTGGAATCATTATCTTTGAATTGCGAACGCGAGCTTATCACTATGTTACATGTAGAGGCGACGTCTGCGCGGATGAGCAGAGACCTTTAGCCACTCCTCCAGCGTTTGACTAAAACATGACGGTCAAGTGAGTTCATTCTTTTAAGCTCTTGCTGTAATGCTCACCACCTTATTCCTAATGTAATTATGCATGGACTTGGAAATGGGAAGAATTTGTGTATGGCCACCTAACCTTTGAGGTTCCCGTAGGGACGGAAGAGAGCACGAGTCTTGCTTGTAAGATGAGGTCTTGATTTTCCATCGCCCACAGTTCAGTGGTTCTGCATTTACCGATTCTAAACCTAGAGGAAACAAACCTAGAAAGAGACCATAACAATCCCATTGATTTGGTACAGATAGATCGATGCGCTGCTGCTCCCGGAGTAAAACTCCTCAGTGCGCCTTTCTAGTCTTTCTCTATAAGTTATAGCGTCAAGGAAATATACAGGGAACCACGCCACCCTTCCCAGTCGCAAACAATCCCCAGTCAAAGCTCAAGCACCAAGAAAAGAAATAAGAAATCCATTGCTCATCAAAAATCATCATCATTGGGAATAATACAACAGACAGCCCCCCCCCTCCCAATAGAAACACCACAACTCCAACTCCATATACACGTAACCCGAAAGAACCCCCCATATCGAACACCCGACCCACCCTCCAAAAGCTCAATCCGTCATTTTCAAAACCGCAGAACCAAGGGTATCATTCAACTTGTGCCGCAGCGCCGACTCCAATATAAAGCACATGGACTGGTCCGCATCCGTGGGCGAGGCTTCGCGCCGGCAGTACGACTGCGTGAAGCTCTCTACCAGCCCGCGCACCTTCTCCAGGTCGTTCATGACCATCTGCGCGACGATGCGGCGGTGGTCGCCCTCGCTGAGCTCGAACTGCCCGATCTTGATGGGGAGGACGCGCACGCGCGTCGGCGCCGTGGTCGGCTGCATGAACGCCATCTCGGGGATCGCCTCGCAGCCGTCCAGGATGGCTTGGTACCAGATCAGAACCTTGGAGATGGCCTGCGCGATGAGAGGCGCGAAGCTGAAGTCTAGAGAGCAGGGGCAGCCGATGACGAGCGAGAGATTGCTCATGGCTTTTTGGTTGAGGTGCAGGACAGCATCGAGGCTGCGGGGCGGCGGTGCGTTGGAGTTGAGCACGCATTTGTCCGACGGGGGGTGGAGGGCTTGCAGGGTGTTGAAGGTCAGGGTGATGCAGGATTGACCGTGGAGGGAGGAGATGCTGGGAGACGGGGACGAGGTGGAGGATGGGGAGCTCGTGGAGAGGGAGGACAGGCCGGTTTGGATGCTGGATTGCGAGCTGGATTGGTGGGGGGTGACTTCGAGGACCGGAGTGGCTTGCGGGGTGGTGATGTCGAGCAGCCGCTGCAGCTCCTGGTCCATCGTCTGCCAGTCGTCGATGAGCTGGAAGTCATTGTGTCCCACGCTGGTGGGCGGGTTGGCGAGGAGCCGGTCGGTCGCAGAGTAGTCGTTGAGCTTCTCTGCGATGGCCTCCAGGTCCTGGTAGCCCAGTGTGTTGAAGAGGTCGATGTGCTGAAAGTTGTTGTGGTTGTTGGGGTCGGCCCGGTCGGGCGAACTATTTTGGGTGTCCGTGACCGGGGTGAGATTGCCCCCGGGGGGGATCTGCGACAGACGTCGCCGCCCTCGTGGTCGGATGAAGCCGTAGTTGCAGGGCTTGTTGCGCGCCACACATCGATCACATCGTGGATGCTGCTTGCCACAGCGCACCTTGGATTTGGCGCAGGCGTCGCAGCTGTCGCGGGTCTTGCGACTCGGAGGCAGGTCGCTGTTGATGCTCTCCCCCTCCTCCATGACACTCATGGTGGAGGTGTAGGGGGATGCATGGTCGAGAGTTGGTGACCGTATCATCTTGCATCCGGTCTGTGTTTGGATCTTCGGCATTTTCTTTTCCCAGACGAACTATACAGGTGAGAGTACTTAAGTATGGCTCATCGCTGATCGAGGATGGGGGTCGTATTTCCTGCTAATCCCGTCCGAGCACGTTGCAGGGACGAGGCTCGAGGTGTTGCAGAAGAAAGAATCCGATCGCATGTTGTCGAGTGTGTCTGGTAGAAATCCGAAGCAAATTCCTGTTGAGTTGTGGAAACCCCGGTGTTCACGCAGAGAGCGCAGCTCCAAATCCGAGCCGCCAAGACTGAGCGATCTGCCCTCTGAATCCCGTTCCAACCCCGGCGGTGAGCCCCTGTCGACTCCTCTGACCGCTTCCAGCTGCATTTTGCCGTGGATCCCACCTCTTCCTGGAGATAAGCATGCTGTCGGCCCGCCGTTCTGCACTGCGTGGACTATCGGCAGTTGCTCGTGACCCTCATATCAGATGAGTCTTCCCCGGTTGGAAGTTAGAGTAGCTCGAAAGACTTTAAGATCTTCTCACTGCACTATACGAAGAACACTCATCAGACCTCTGCTCTAATCCACATAATCTTCCAACGTATTTGTTTTCTTGCTCGGGTTTCTATCACATCTTAGTTTGCCTGCCCACCTGCAATCCTCGAACTTACCTCCATTGAGTTGCATCCCAATTTTCGAAACTGGCTCTGGAATCATTGCGATTGCCTACTACAAAAGTCAACAACATGCGACAGGCTGACGCATCGAGGGAAGTGGAAGCTCAAATAGAGGCAGCGGCTCGATGCAAGCGTCCAAGCGCCCCGACGCAACACCCGGCTAAGGACCGAGGTCGGGACCCGAGACGGGCGCCACAGCCCGCATGGGCGCCCACTCCTGCATTATGGCCCTTTCCAGCCTTATTCGGATCCCAGCCCCCTTGCTAGCATCCATGATAGCATTGCTAATCAACCTACCGAGTCTTTCCACTCTGGACACATCCTGGTCGTGCTTGCATGTCCTTCACATCAACGTCTATCCCCAATATGGCTATCGATAATGAAGCGACCGTTTCCACCCCATCCTTCAGCGCTAAACATACACTCTCAAGCCTCACCAATGCGGCAGCCCTATCGGAGTTCGACGCCTTGGTCCGCCGCGGCCTCGTCGTCTACTCCCCCTCCAAGATCGTGCGCCTCGAAGTTGACAACTTTCACGTACACAACCCACCATTCCTTTTAAGTTTCACCGATCTAACCTCGCGAATCTAGTTCGAATTCCGGATCAGCCAATCTCTCACCAACAAACCCCAATCTGGCGAGGGTCTGAAACCGCCCAACGAAAACAGAAACAACAGCAGGAGCAGCAGCAGCAGGAGCAGCAGCAGCAACAATAACGATGACAGCAGCAACAGCGATAATAAAGATGGATCTTCCAAACCAGCAACCTTCGGCCCCGGCAGCGATCTCGCCTGCCCCACGCCTGACCTCATCATCGCCACCATCCACACGACCCACATCCTCGTCCCGAACGGCTACAGCGTCTTCCGGCCGCAGTTCCTCCTCCTCACCCAGGACTCGTACCGGCGCCAGCACGAGAATTTGGATCGAGAGGACCTCGAAGCCGCGCGCGCCGTCCTCTGCGCATTGGGTCAGGACAACGGTCGGCGCTATTTCGCCATGTTCAACTGCGGGCGCACGGCGGGCGCCAGTCGCCAGCACAAGCACATGCATATCATCCCTTGTGTTGATGACGAGAAAGAAATAGATCAAATCATTGAGCTGCCTACCGTAGGGAAGGGTGTAAATGTCGACACCAAGGCACCAGGACCAACCATCCTCCCGAACAATCCCACACCAAAATCCAGCGACATCCCCTTTGCGCATTTCTGCGCTCCGTTGTCGCCCTCGGAGTTTCAGGAGCAGGCGTATTCTGAGCGTGTGTTGGATGCGTACCTCGGGCTTTTGGCGGAGATGCGATCTGCGTTCAGCGACAGAGGTGCAAGCGATGGGGAGGGGAATATCCCGCACAATGTGATCTTGGTCGAGGATTGGATCATGGTGATCCCCCGGTCGAAGGATCGGTACCGGCCGGATGTCGCGGTCAACGGGGCGGGGATGGTGGGGTCGGTGTGGCTGGATCGCGACGAGATCCTGGCGCGCTGGGTGGAGATTGGGCCGGCGGAGGTCTTGCGCGGGGTGGGCTATCCTCCGCTGACTTAGGTTGGGTCCACTAGCCAGTAGACACTGTACCTGGAACGGCTGCAGCGGTAGAAGACCTACCTGGGCAGAGGAGACTCGCTTATTCTGCAGTGGCTGGGGCCGGGGTAGATGGACCCTTGCCTAATCAGGGCATTCCCCTGAAATCCGAACTCCGGCAATGCGTGGGATAGAAATACTCGATTCAGTTATAAAATATAGGAAATAGATTTCGAAAATTAAGCTAGATCGTGAATCGCAATCTAAGGCTTCGTCAAAGAACAAACCGTTCACACACAGAAACAAAAACAAGAAAGTCTAATTACAAGAATCTCGCACCCCTCAAGGAAAAATCTAAAGCTCCAAGCAGAACCGATTGAACTCCTCATCCTCGAGCAAACAATCCATCTCCTCCTCGAACAGGTTCATGGCCAACTCGATGCCGCCCTTACTGCGACGGGGCAGGATGAATGAGATGCGGGCGACGTCATTGAGGGGCCCGTTGAAGCAGCGCACGGCCTCGGGCTTGCCCTCGTTGGCGAAGCGGCGGGTGCCGAACTGGATCGAGTCGACGGGGAACAGGAGCAGGTTGGAGATGAGCATGTCGGCGCCGGCGGTGCGGCGGAAGCGGGGCTTGAGCTGGGCGAAGTCGGCGACGCCCTTGATGAGCGCGTAGGCCTCGTGCAGGCTGGCGCTGTTGACGCGGCCGGCGCCGGTGCGGATCGCGCGCGCCACCCGGCCCAGCGGCACCGCGGGGTCCAGCAGCTCCGCCACCGGGATCGCCGACTGGTTGTAGAAGGTGATGTTGCCCAGGTAGCTGGGCGGCACCGCCTGCGAGAACTCCATCCGCCCGTCGATCGCCGACTCGAGCACTGACTCCTCGTCCAGCGTCTCGTCCGCCGCCGCCGCCCGCGCCCGCACCAGGCTCCGCCACATCAGCGCCGTGACCACGTCGTTGCCGCTGAGCGGTCCGGCGGTCGTGCTGCTGCTGCTGTCGTCGGCGGTGGAGGCTTCGCATTCCTTCTGCAGGGCCGTCATGTTGGCCGCCGACATGTAGAAGGTGCGGTTCTTCATCTGCCGCGGCGGCTTGGGGTGCTCGTTGCCGAACCAGTTCTGGAAGTCGATCGGGGTCGTCGAGCCCTCGCTGGGGCGCAGGCCGACCAGGCCCCGCGTCCACGCGTCGGCGTCTTGGAGGGCGATGGGGCCGGATTTGGGCGGCACCCAGAGCTTGTCGAGGAGGGTGCGGTCGGAGCTCTCGGCGGGGAAGGGCTCGACGATCTCCGAAGGGTCGAACACGCTGCGGCAGTTGTCGGCCCACAGCTTCATCACGGTGACCATGGCGGTGCCGTCGATGGCGGCGTGGCAGGTCGACATGCACAGCACGCACCCGTCCGGGATGAAGTTGGCCTGCGCCACGAAGACGTCGCAGCCCGTGTCCAGGTTGCCCTCGATGGGCACATTGAGCAGCTCCTGGTCGTCGTAGGCGTCGCTGGGGAACCCCTCCTCGCGCAGCTCCGCGAACGTGTAGTCCGATTCCAGCTCGTTGAAGCGCAGCTGGTGCGGCAGCGGCCCGTCCACCGGCGCCGCCGTCGCCGGGTTGTACCGCAGCTCCCGCTGCCCCGGCCGGTACCCCGGCGTGTCGGGGGACTGGCGGAAGACTTTGCCCCCGAGCCACGGCACCTGCACGAAGGTCTGGTGCAGACCCTTGCCGAGGTCCTCGAAGACATCCAGCGGGGTCGTGCCGGGTTGGAGCGAGAAGTAGTAGCACAACTTGACGTAGTTGGGCCGGTGCAGGTGGTCCAGCACGTTGAGCGGGACGTAGACGGTCTCGGACGACATCGTTCGGGTAATTAGTGGCTGACGGGTGTGGTTGGGTGTCAATGGGTGGTGGGATGTGATGTCGCTAAGAGAAAAAGTGGTTCGACGTGTCTTGGCCCGTGGAATGTTGCTTGTCACCCGCCTCAATTTGCCTCTCGATGTGGTGGTGGTGGTGGTGGTGGTTGTGACTGATGTTGATGGTTGCGTCTTCTTCCCATCGAATTAGGGCTTATATAGATGATGTGTTCCCATGGTGAATTGAACTACCCCGACGACACCTGCAGTGTCGTTGAACCTCGAATTCAAGTCAACTCCATGTCGGGATAGCAGTCAGTCTGGATCCAGAGTCAGGAGACTCAGGACTAGAATCGAGTCAGATCCAGATTACTAGCTAGAAACTAGGGACTAGTGATCACGCACGCGCGACAGGGCGACCATCACGAGATAAAGTAGGAATAGGCGGCGACAATCGGGCACGAATTGGCCCGTTGCTGGCCGGAACAGGAAAAGCCATGGACACTTTTGGGGTTAGTCATCCAGCTGATTCATGTCGAGCTGATGCAGTGTTTAACACCAATCACAGTGTCTCGAATGGCCCCTCCAAAAGTGTCCGAGAGTCCGACGGAGAGTCCGACAGTGCAGCAGTCGGGCATTTCACACCGCTGTCACTGGTCGGCTTTCACCCTTTCCAATCCCGTTCCGGTCGATCTTCCCATCACCCACTGTAAGGAACTTGTAGCCCATTCTGAACCTTTCCCAACCCTAGGTAGTATCAATCCGTCTCGGCCACTTTACACATCACCAGGTTACCAAGCACAGGGGTCTTCCAGTCCGTATATATTTGCTTCAAAGTGACGGCTTCTCTCCTCAATATGTCTGACCAGAGCATTTCAATCATACCACTCTCATCATCATCCTTATCTTCCTTTGAATTATCTGATATTCCAGATATCCCAGATATCCCACCTATACTATGGCGACCCTTCGTCAGTATCTCAGCCTGCGAGATGCCGCCAGGGAGGATGTGACTCGAGCCCACACCTTACCTGACGGTGGCTCATCCTCCGGCACCTCCACTCCGGACGAGAAGGAGAGGGCTCTCATTCCTGGCGTTGAACTATCTCGCCCCAATGAGAACGATGGCTCCGTCACCTACGTCGTTGGCTGGAAGGAGGGCGATCCCCTCAACCCTCAGAACTGGACCCGTGCCAGGAAATGGATCTGTACAGCCACGGTCTGTCTGATTGCCCTGGCTGTCAGTATCCCCGGTACCATCGATGCTCCCATTTCGGCTGCTTTCAACGAGAAGTACCACGTCGGTGAAATTGCCGGTACCATGGTCACTGGTGAGTCGACCCCTTTCCACTAATGCAGGGGTCGAGGCTAATCGTTGCAGGAATGTACCTCATTGGCGTGGGTGTGGGTTCTCTCTTCGCCGGACCCTTCTCGGAGACATTTGGCCGCAATGCGGTTTACTTCATCACCCTGATTGTCTTCATGCTGTTCATCCTGGCTAAGGCCTTGGCGCCCAACTATGGGGCCGCCATTGTCTTCCGCTTCATCCAGGGTTTCTTTGGTGCTGCCCCCTTGACGGTCGGAGGTGGTACCGTGGGTGATATCTGGGGTCCTCTCGATGTCACCTTCAGTCTGCCATTCGTGACCATGGCCTCGTACTCGGGTCCTATTCTCGGTCCCATCATTGGTGCCTACATCCCTGCCGACAAGTCGAACTGGACCGACTGGATCTCCCTCATCATTGCCGGTGCCGTGCTTGTCTTTGTCGCTATGTTCCAGCCCGAGACCTACGGTCCCACCTTGTTGTCATGGAGGGCCAAGCACCTGCGTGCTGCCACCGGAGACTCCCGCTACCAGGTCGACGAGTCTGCTTCCACCAGCTCGCTGGGCAGCCGTCTCCTCGTCAACGTCTACCGCCCCTTCCAGATGACCATCACGGAGCCCATCGTCCTGCTCTTCTCCTTCTACCTGATCCTGCTGTACATTGTCCTCTTCACCTTCCTGAATGGATTCCCCTTCATCTTCACGCAGACCTACGGCATCTCCAACTCGCTCACCTTCATCATCTGGGTGGCCATGTTGGCGGGTGATGCTGTCGCCATCTTGCTCATTCCGCTGATCTACGGCTGGACCAAGAAGGCGGCGGTCAAGGCTGCGACCAACGGCACCGCTCTGCAGGCCGAGGTGTCTCTGTACTGGGCCATGGTTGGTGGCTCTTTCTTGATGCCGATCTCCCTGTTCTGGATGGGCTGGACCTGTTACGTAAGTCTCCCTCAGTCTGCTTGTGCAGCGTACAGTTCAATACTAATGCATCCCAGTCGGACATCAGCATCTGGTCCCCCATCATCGCGACCTTCGTGTTCGGATACTCGCTGGTCACCATCTTCACGGCGACTTACCTGTACATTGTCTTCGTGTACACCGTCTACGCCGGATCCGCGCTGGGCTTCATGACCTTCAGCCGGTACGTCATCTCGGGTGCCCTGCAGCCCGCCTCGATCCCCATGTACCAGCACATGACCCCGCACTGGGTGCTCACGCTGGTCGGTATCCTGGCCACCATCATGGCGCCCATGCCCTTCCTGCTGTACAAGTACGGCCACCAGATCCGCGCCATGTCCAAGAACGTGCAGAACAAGGCCTAGACGATGTCAATCTTGAGCTCAAACCGCAAGACCAAGAGTGCAATCCACACGCAGCAGCACAACAACACCCCGACAAGCGAGCGCCCCTGCACCAAGTTCGAATAAACCACCTCGTAAAGAGATATCCATAGACCGGCGACCGGCGATTGGGGAGATTTCCTCAACGCGCACCGTATAATTTGCGAGTTTCCCTTCTGAGACACCCCCTTTTATCTGTTTTGACTGTTTTGATTGTTGTGGTTCTTGATTCCCTTCTACCATGCATATATCCATGTGCGAAGAGCAAAATGTTGGATCCTAATGTTTTCTACAAGGAGGTGATTGAAATTTGATTTTTTTGGTGGATTTATGAAACATGACGCGCGATGAGACACTAATGGGCTTTATTTAATGAATTGGAAGAGATGGAATGATTTTTGATGGGATAGATATACCTTAGATTGTTTACGACTGTTTTGTGTATGAGATTTGTGTTCCTGATAGGAATGAGCATACGTTAGACGAATCAAGTGGTTTTAGAGTATGCGCAGAGGCTTCCAGGCTTAGTCGGGTTCAGGCCGGGCTGGCACGGGGCTCGGAAATGGGCGATTTAGGGCCAAGACATGTAACGTGGCGGGACGGGACGTTTCGTTACATTTCATTTTACATTTCATTTCATCATGACATTTCAGTCAATGTTTCGAGCGACATTTCAGGCTGGATCTTTCAGCATAGCATCTGATTTTATATTCAAAGGATCTTGTCTACGACTGTAAAAGTAAGCTGCTACGATAATCTAGTAAGGGATTCTTTGACAATGATTCAAGAGTGATTCAACGTGGCGATTCAACCTGACGTCACGTTTCAAGCAACGTTTCAAGCAACTTTTCAGGCAACTTTTCAGGCAACTTTTCAGGCAAGATTTCAGGCGTCTCCCAGCACCATGGAAATCACCTAAACCAAATCCATGCACCACTTCCACTAGAGACCAAAAAAGAGCCAGCCTCGAAGCTCGTCGTTCCTTCGCACAGGACTGGGGCATTTATCATGGGAACCAGAAGAGACCGGGTCCAGCATTACTTCAACGGTTTTGGGCTCCTCTGTAGCAGAAGCGCCCAGGAGATAACCATGATCGGGAAGAGATCGGCAAAGTATGATAAGAGCAGATGGATCTGAAGAGAGGCTGTACCTGTGGTAGGTGTCATTGACTTGATGGTCCCATCAGGGACCGATCGCAATGAGGTGGAGAATACTCTTCCCAGAAGATAAGACAATGAAGGCTTCTCTCCACGGTCACACAAAACACGATTCGCTCCGCTGGGCCCGGCCATCTCTTCAACTCGCCGGGGAAGTTCATTTGCTTGGCTGGGCAGCATCCGCGTACGCGCGCAGGGCAATCGCCAGCAGGAGGCCACCGATGCTCTCCATCTCGCTTCGGACATTTGTATTCCAAGGGCCGAATTCGTGCATGGTGAGGAACGGACGGGGCGCGTTCGGGGGCAGCCTATTATTGAGATACTGGATGTAGCTGCTGTCATACTCCGCGAAGGTGATGGATATCTGATGGCGGTCTTGCGATACGTGAAGACGGCTGAGACTTTGTGAGTGAGTGACATTACCAGGGGGTCCAGATTTACCCAATCAAGGATAGGGCCACAAGGACCGCTTGGCACTGCAGTGAAAAAGGAACACAGGTAGTCGAGGTAAAAGAGAAATGAAGGCGACCTACCGGCCTGGAAGATTCAGAGCGCCCGTGGGATCAGGATCTGCCATGATCCACGCCACCATCTGCGCAGCCTCTTGCATCCGAATGGGATTCAGCTTCTTTTCCCGCAACATTGGCTTCACCTCAACCAGCGCCCGCACCCTCTCTGAGGAGCCTCCGTCCTCCAGGTAGCCATCGGTTCGTGCCTCAAAGGCGGCGTTCTCGAACACTGCCTTGAAGGACTTGCGGTGCAAGGTCCAATCGCTCGCTTGGGGAAAGTGCATGCTCAGCGCATTCAAGAAGTCCACTAGGGCAGCATTGACGATCTGTTCATCTTTGGTCTGGGGATACATCAGGGGCGCAAGCTCCTCAGGCCCCGGGGTCTGGAAGGGCGAGTCCTCGACCTCTGGAGTCCCGGGTACCTCTGATGAGATTGCCGCTCTACCTGTGGACTTTGTTGGGGTCTGAAGTTGTGCTGCGCGCATTTTCTGCGCTAGATTTCCCACCTTGGCGCGTGTACGATTGGCGATGGGGGAGAAGGCCACTCTCGATTGGAAGCTCTCATCCCTCGATACTGCAGCCTGTGACTGATACTTTTTGGCCAGGGCAAATGTACCTTCAAGGATAGGGCCATTGAGGAAGCTCTGGCGGTAGTTGGCCCGAGATTGGAATGTTGCCAGCAGCCTGTCCGCTTCCCTTTTCCATGGCTCCAGTTAGAATTGTTTTAGGCTGAGTTTTCGAGCGTCCGCGGCAGTCCACAGAACCTGGAGCAATAGATATTGTTTCTCGCTGATGGTGGATGCGGAGTTGAGGGTGGCATCATGGATGGTAGTACCGGAGACGTTATGCCGAGCTGTCCAGTCACCATTCATTTTCGGTCGAGGGGAGATCCGTACCCGAGAATATTTCCGAGGCCATGGGTAGTTAGTGCGTAGGCTTGATATCTTGTGTACTGAAGTTCTAGTAAGTAGGGTCCAACCAGGCAACAAAGGAGCTGAGACACTGGACTCGGAGGGTGACTCCTTTTATTGGGCATGTTGTCCCTTCTCCAGAGGAGGCGTGCGTGATGCAAGCGTCCATCTGATCGATTGGTCCAGCCCGGCTTGCCGCCGAGTACTAGGTACTGAGATGCAGCCTCGAGAAACCGCCAAAGCAAGTCTTCTTCACCAACCAATGGATGGAAGTGCTTGCAATCAAGTATGACACCTTCTCGTTGGGTCAGGTGATGGCGGGCGGCAACCTAGGGGCACTGAGTGGACAGGATGGGTGGATATTGTTAGCGCCGACGATATGTAATAGTTGATCTAATCTATTAGTAGGTGACTTAAGGTGGTAGTAAGTAAGTAGAGTGAGTATGACAGTCGGTAACTAACTGTACTTTGGTACATGGGAAGGCGAGGCCCTACCGACAATTGGTAGTTACAGGTCCTGCTATAAGAGAAATTCAACTTGGAAGTATATGTTATACAATCCACTGGGATCAAAAATATTCGAACTTGATATACTGCCAGTTTTCAATTACAGAATTAGTACTGGGGAAGGCAGATTCAGTGGTGGGGATGTAGTACTCCGTAATGTGCAGTAAAGCCGGCGGCAGCAGCAAGCAACTTGTGGGAGCTCACATGACCATGCCCGCTACCGAGTGAAGTCGCCTGACGTTGCCGAGCAACTGGCTCTTGTCTGCCTTAGGCCTCTAAACCTCTAAGAGCGCGCCCTTTCTTACCGCTGCCGAAACCTTTTGACTTGGCTCGCTCGCTCTCTCGTCTCTACCCAACAACTCAAACCAAGCCCATCCAAACTCCATCAAATTCCAGTAAGATCAAGATGGATGAAGCTCTCGTACGTCTGCGGGCTGATCGCCGTCACGCATTAGCGAGAGCTGAGCTGAGAATATGATCAAGGAAACCCCGAAGATGCATGTTGGAGCCTCTGATCTGAAGGCGGCCGGTATCCGTCACTTGCCTCTAGACATTACAAACGGGAAAAATACTCAAAATCACCCGCGCTTCTTCCAACCATTTCAAGAAGAACTGCCTCTCCCTGAGAACGAGGGAAAGTTGCTGGAGTTCGAGCCCCATCTGGATCGCATCATGTGGGAGACTCGAGATATGGAGCTCTTCCTCACCAAGCACTTTTACAAGTGCGGGAGATATGCAGCGCTAAAATACCCCCATAACCCCCCGCCTTCTGGTGGATATAGAGAGTATGTCATGTCTCCACAGCCATCTTAGCCTTTGATGGGGCTATCCGACTATTGTGGCATACAGGATTGGGGATTACAAGTTCGGCCAACTGCTGGAGGCTACAGGGTTTAACTGGTATGCCGTATCAGTAACCGACTATTGGACGGGCAATTATCCACACTTCAAAGTCATGTTGGAAAGTGACGCCATCGGAGACGAGAACAAGCTGCTTCGTGGGGAGATTATGACCATCACCGATATCATGGCTGCGAGGCTGAGGACAAAGTCGCTGCGCCCGCATATTGTTGCCCCAGTAAGGAATATTCTCTCCCTAGTAGGAATTTCATACAAGCTTGCTCACCTTGCGTTTAGTTCAGATCCTGGTGGTGTCTCTCATGGGTCCCCGACATGCCCGCGTGCTGGAAGCGGATTACGATGGGAAGACTCTGAACATTCGCGCGTCTAAGCTCTACGATTTCACGAAAAAGAACACGGATGCTGCGCAATTGCTAACGCGGTATTGGCTAGGTGGTGCTTGTGGACAGACTGAGATGGAACCATCTTAATTTCTGGTGGCCAAGTTCAGTGCGACATCACGAGCTGGATCTCTTCGAGGTTGCATGGGATGGTGGCGTCGCTATTGTTCTTTCTTTCTTTCTTTCTTTCTTCCTTGGTGACTTTGATGAGCGTCGCTCCAGCAACGACAGCTACAATCTGCACGGTTAGCACATGGGCTCGGATACTGATCTAGCTGAAAGCAAAGACAGCATCACAGTCGCAACAGCTCCTCCATCAGCAGAAATTAAGAATGGTGGCCGAAGGCCACCATCTCGAGTCAAGTTCGAGTCTGCAGTACTACCTACTGCTATGCCGTTGCACTGCGTACCGGTAGCCGACGAAGAACGGTACCTTTCTCTTCTATTTCCCGACCGTCGCATTCCAATCCGTGAGGAAGTGAGCGATGAGACAAATACTTCATACGGGCAATAAGCTGCATAGCGTGCATACCTTGGCTGTTCGCCCCGAAGGTTATCCAGAGACTTGACTCTGGTTAACCCGGTCTGCAGGGTCTTCGCAATGAACTTTGAGAATCCCATTGGTCTGGTGCGGAAGCGCGCGGGTAAATCTGACGATGGAAGAACAATGTCAAGCCTTCTGGAAAGCATGGCGGGTTGGCATCTGCAGGGTCCGGTAGAATCTCGTGTTGGGGTTGATAACCTAGATTGCCACAGAGCCTGGTTGGCAATGAGGTTACAGGCAACTTGGAACCTTTTCTCTGGGTAGCCGGATATTGGATTATTTTGAAGGACAGCGTTGGCATAGATAGGGTAAGTAGGGGCCTCCAGGTTGAATTGCTAGGTGGGCGATGTTGCAGGCTAGAACTATGCTGCAGCTCGTGAATGTTTCAGTCTGCCGAAACTGGGTCTGCAGATCGTGAAGATTACTGCATAGGATGAGGCCTGCAGAGTCACCAGGATTGTGGTAAACCAGAAGGGAGCGACCACACGTGGAGGGAGCCAAACCACGAGGGGAAGAGTCCAGATCCTTCACGGTGAAATTGGCAAAGAGTAAATAAGGTGGCGTTGTTGCCGGGCTCTCCCGCCCCTCCGAAGGATGAACTCGGGCATTTGCCTGTCCTGTGCGGCTCTCGATAAGCCACCCAAAACCGCCAAAAACCGCCAAAATAGCCAAAATAAGCCCCGACGTCCCGTAGCCGAGCCCTGTTCATCCTCCGACTTTGATCTTCCACCTGCTCCCTCGTCATGACACGGGTTTACTCTCCGCCGGGATTCGCCTGTTTCTGATGTGCTTGATTGGTTTTCCGTTGTATTTTTGTCGTATCTTACCCCATGACAGGGATTCAAATACAGTACGCCTGAAGGATCTCACCATTCTCGTCGTTACGGAGTTTACCATCCTTCGAGACAGGAATCAACTTCCAGCTTGGCGCTATCGAAGAAAAAGAACAAAAGCATCATGAATCCCCAGCTGCTTCTGCACGGTTTCCTTCTCTTCCCTGCTTCTTAACGCTAGACTTCAACCTTCTTCGCTAGTGTGAGCGTTCGGCCACGTTTTTTTCTTTCTTTCTTGGAACTATTACCCCACTGATATGCAGATACACCATGCCCCTCTGCAGGGACTCATTTACCCCGGCCAGCCTCAACACCGGTACCTGGTCCCCGGATGAGGACGAGAGACTCCGAGAAGCCGTTGCACAGTATGGCACCCGCTGGGTGGTGGTTGCCGCGGCCGTGGCGACCCGCAATGGTGATCAATGCGCTAAGCGGTGGAACGAGAATCTGAACCCCGATCTCGACCACAGTCCATGGACTCCACAGGAGGTATGTACGTGAGGAACGCAGTAACTGCAAGAAGCCGAAGCACAACGATCATCATCATCACCATCTTTAAGCACTCCGGCTAATTGCCACTCCCACAGGATCAACTTCTCCTGCAGCTCGTCGACATCTACGGCCGCAACTGGAAGTTCATGGCCAACAGCTTCCTTGGTTCTCGTGCCCCACAAGCCCTCAAAAACCGCTACTCGTTGCTGATGCGACGGTTGAAACGTCGGGGCTCGATCTCCAAGCAACCCCGACCGCTGTCATCCTCCGCTACCACCATTACCACTGCCACAAACGCTACAGACAGTGTCAGCAAGCAGCAGACCCCTTTCACGCCATACTTCGATCTAGGAATAGACCCCCGCGCCACGGGGATGCTCCCAACCCCGACCGAAGAAAGCAGCGGCAGCAGCGGCAGCACCTCGTACGCGAGCTCGCACCACAGCTCCATCTCCGAGGGCAGCAAGCCGACGACGCGTCCCAGCAGCCGCTCCAATTCTTACATGGACCTGACCAACATCTTCGGCACGATGACCGGCACCGCCTTCGGTGACGACGTGCAGTACCAGACCCACGACCTCTTCACCACGCCGCCCAGCACCACCGTGCTGGTCCCCGGCGGCGGGGACGGAACGACCGGTACGCATCACTCGTCGGACGCCAACCAGCTAGAATGGGAGGTCTGGCAGAGCTTGATCGACCCCGGGTCCGGCGAGACGACCATCACCACCACAACCACCACCGATTCCTCCTCCCGAAGCACAACCAGCAGCGGCAGCGAGTCGGAGAAATCCACCCCCGACGCCGCCCCGGGCTTGGTGTCCACCCCGCAGCCGATGGACCTGACCACCGGGTTAGTAGCCCCGGCCAGTACGGTCCTGGATAACCACGGGATCGAGTACTCGGTGCGGTGCTCGCGGGCCAACCTCAAGAAGCTGGTGCACAATCTCTGCGATGCGGCCATCTTGGAGACTAGTGCCGCCATGTCGGAGGGGGATCAGGTCACCCTGACTTTACATCTGAAGACTTGATCTTTAGTGTTTGCTTTTTCTTTTGTTGTTGATGAACTCATGATACCTGTTTATAGTCGTCAGATCTTGACTTGATTGCTTTGCTCTTTGGCGTTCTTTGTGTATGATATTTTCAGCGAGGCTTTCGTCTCGTACTTTTCTTATGTTTGGTGTTGCATTCCAGATGAGTGTATCTGTGCATGAGGTTTATGATAGAGTATATACTAATTTTCTCACGCTTGGTTAATGAATGCTGTGATGCGAGTGAGCGCTAAGCTTCAATCGGCTCCGGCTGTAATTCTGATGCCAATGGAACTAAAACCCTATAAGGTAGGCGGTAGACTTTATGAGCAACTATTTATCCTCTGCATAATCATAAACTAATACATACCATTATTAGAATAGACCCTAGTAATTCTAAGAAAAGAATCAAAAAAGATTTTCTTCTAAAGGACCATGATAGCAATACCTTCAGCCTTGAAGAACACAAGAATCCCTAATGTCACATCTGATGTAAGAACATTATTTACTGTACAGGGCTTTTATTTTTTATATTAGAACACAATGTCGGTAGCAATACGAGATTCAACCGGTGTCAATGGCCAGTATTCAGCTGGAATACCAGTAGTGCTGGACTGGTCCCCACTAGCAAGGTAGCTGCCGCTATAGCTTAATCCTATACAAGTTTTTCAAAACTGGGTTTTGCTTTACTTTATTAATAATTTCTCAGCTTGTGACCTTGTAGCACAATGATAGCTTGATGCCTTGTATAAGGTAATAGTCCAGGAAGTATTTTACTTTGGCAAAACCGTGCTTATGATATGCGAACATAAAGTATACAGTTACTTGTTCTTATGCTACCTGTACTGTGTGTGACAGCAGCAGAGATGTCCTTCTTTGCTTCATATAGATATGGTCATCGAGCGATCGTCATCAGATAGGTTGATTTCGGTATGGCTTGGATGAGACAGAGCCCGCAGCGAAGTAGACCGAATCATTGCCATCAGTAAAGGACGACTTGTGAGATTTGAAACTAGATAATCCCTGGGCACGTGATCGTCACCTGGGGAGTTTTAGGCAACAGACATTTCTACTAGGTACAGTATCGATGCTCCAGTCTAGGTAGGTCCTGCAAATGGCGGGATGTCGAAGATACTGCGGCATACCTGACAGAAACCATCAATACAGAAGAGGTGGTATTGTTGCTGTCACATAAGTTGCAATGCTCTAAACTGACAGGGGTCGGATTGGTCCAGGTCCTCTAAATGGCTTGGACACGCTCTTCACAAGAAGTGATCTACATGAGCTGTATTATCACAAGGGAGCAAGTTCTCTAGCTGTGTGATTTGCAAGAAGTACTCCGTAGTCTGTATAAGCTACACTGTTTATAGAAGATAAAAGTCTGAGCGGGGGGTGGCCTGAGGCCTCCCGGAGAACCCAAGATTCAAAGCTTAGAGTCTAATCTCAAAGGCTGATAAAGTTACGTGGTTTCGAACCACGCTTCTTGTGTATGTATGTTCTTGAGATACATTTATTTATGAGGTGCAAGTAGTGGGGCGGCATAGCGACGAGTAATGTACCAGAGGCCTAAGTAAGGTATCTATTAAATTCTGTATTTTTGGAAAAGTCGAGGTATTCGGGCTGTATTATACATAAGGTAGTCTATCTATATCACAGAAGATAATTTTTGGCTACTAGAGAGCAGGTATTCTACTTGTATTATGACTGTATCATTGATAAGGAGTGATATGTTTAGGTTGTATTATAATAAGAGAGCAGGTATTTTGGCTGTATTTTGGCTGTATTTTGGCTGTATTTTGGCTGTATTTTAGCTGTATTTTATCCGATAATTTTATGCTTAGTAGAAATCGGGGATTCGGCTGTACCGTATAAGAAAAGAACTTGACGCTGCCACGGTACCTAGTAGAAGACACCTCCCGAAAAGTGACTGACGAATGAGAAAAGCAGGCAGTAAGCTTGGCCACAGAATTCTAACGTGCATGAACCCTGCATAAACGAGTCGACACGGCGGGCAGCAACAATACAACATGACAAACACCCAACAATTCTGGACAATGAATAGGTGATAGAGTCTAGCTACAGTCATTTCAGTGTGTGATTTAAGAACTTCCTCTCTTGCGTCTGTGCCTTGGAATAATCTGCATGTCCCTTCTAGATATAAAGCTCCCCACGCCCCCAATGATCATGGCTCTAAACAACATTGTATTCCTCGAATCGCATCGATAACCACCCCCTTAACATCGGACTAGACCATGTCTTCCTGGACACCGGAAACAATCATCGCTCTCGTCACACTGATCGCTACTGCTCCTTCATCGTTACTCGTGTTGTGGGATTTATATCTCCGTCGTTATCGCCGCCGTCACTCCTCTCCGCAGCCCCACCGCTTTGGTTGGTTGGACTTACTTTCCACCCGCCCGCTTTAAGCTAATCTATGCACCGTACAGTGCATGCAGATTCCGATCACCCCAGATTTCCTACTTCCCCTGAGCAGCATTTCGTCTCATCGAACTTGATCATGCAATTACCACCAGACGCACAGTTCTATTGCGTCCGAGACTTTGATGTACAGATGGTTTGTTGCAGCTTTCCGTGTTTTCGTGGGTGCGGGATTCGAGGACGGTCGCTAACACGTGACAACTTTAGCGTATACAGCAGTTCGGGGCGCATGTTGTGCGTTCTTACGATCGATCCTAGGAGTGATGACGCTCATTGTTGTTGGTCATCTTCTTGGGTTTGATTACAGGTCCTTGGTGAGCAGTATCTAGGACTGCAATTGCTTGAAGGCTCCTAAGCTGTCGATTAGGTGTGGAGTCACGCGCACGGGAGGAACGCTGCGGATGTCTATGAACGCATGGTGCATCTGTTTGAAAGGGAATAGTTTGTATCAGCTTACACTGTTTACAGAGGAACTCGGTTTTGACTGTGTACTACTACTATGTGTGAAGAATGTTTGGGTTCGAAGAGAATTCGTATGTGTTTGTGTTCGTACGGATGAATTCGTCCGTATTCGTCCGAGTCTCTCCTGAAGCCATTCGGACGATTCGTCCGGCTGTAGAAAATATTTATGAGATTGAGCATCCAGGTTAAAGATTTCCTACTCGATCTCTCGGTCACCTACAATAATTTGAGAGTTTTTTTCGTCTCCTTACTTCTCCCCAATGCCTGACGCGTCCCCCAAAAAGAATATTGTTATCCTCGGAGGATCGTACGGTGGTGTCTCGACGGCGCACTACCTGCTCAAACATGTCATTCCCAAGCTGCCCACCCCGGAGCTTTATCGAATCATCCTTGTGAGCGCATCATCCCAAGCCATGTGTCGACAGGCCTCCCCACGTGCCCTGATCTCCGACGAGTATTTCGACCAGCAGAAGCTTTTTGTCGACATTCGCAGCATGTTCGCCCATTGTCCCGATGGCAGCTTCCAGTTCATCCACGGAACAGCGACTGCAGTGACGCACACCGAGAGAAATATTTCAATCGCCGTGTCCTCGGACGGAGAACATGAGACTCTCGCATACCACGCCCTCGTCATCGCCACCGGCGCATCAACCCCTTCGCCCGCCCTCGGCCTCAACCAAGACGCCGTCGACCTCCGAAAGAGCTGGTCCGCTATCCGACAGACCCTAACGCACGTCAAAACTATCGTAATCGGAGGTGGTGGACCAGCAGGTGTGGAAACAGCCGGAGAGCTGGGAGAGCACCTCAACGGGCGCCACCGCAGTGGATGGATGTCTATCGGCCGCAGCCCGAACCAGCCCCCCAACGTACATATTACCCTCGTCACATCCGCCTCCAGACTTCTTCCGGCCTTGCGTCCGGCACTGGCGATCAAAGCCGAGCGGCTACTAGCTGAAGTTGGCGTGTCGGTCATCAAAAACGCCCGCGTGCAGAGTGTCCATCCTGAGAACGCCGGTCAGGATGCAGTGGCTGCGACAGTGACGCTGGAAGACGGGCGGACGCTCCCCGCGAATGTGTACATTCCTGCGACGGGTACGAAGCCTAACACCGGCTTTCTGGATCCGAGTCTTCTGGCTTCCAATGGTCGGGTCGAGACAAATTCGACGCTGCGCGTGGAGAATGCGGGGGAGAGAGTTTATGCGATTGGGGATGCGGCCTCGTACGCGGCGCGGCCGTCGGTGCATGGGATTCTGCAGGCTGTGCCGATACTTTGTGCCAACATCAAGCGGGATTTGCTGTTGGGTGAGATGGGAGGAGCAGGCGGTGGTGGTGACGGAGATTCTGTGTTCAAGGAGGATACGCGCGAGACACAGATCGTGCCGATTGGGACGGCTGGGGGTGTGGGAGCGATAATGGGGTATAAATTGCCCGGGTTTATGGTTTGGCTGTTCAAAGGGCGCGATTATTTTCTGTGGACGACGAAGAAGATTTGTAGTGGAGAGCAGTGGGATTAACAAGTTTGACTATTGGTCTGGTGGATTGGGCAGTCAGCAAGTCTGCAGTACGATATGGGAGTACTTGATTGTTAGCACCCGTATTTATAGTGTACATAGTACTGTACATTTTTACTCAGTAGATCCCTACCTAGTGAGAGTCAAGATTGGTTGATGCATAATTAGTAAGCCATAGAGCAGCCGACTAATGCACGGAGCTGCGGGTCCGTGCGTGTCCCCGTGTCTTTATATGCGCAGCTACCCTCCCTTTTTCAGGCTTTACAACAGATCAACCTTAAACCAGGCACAATTGTACTGCGCTCGACCTTACTCCTCTTTCAATACATCGCATCTGACTATGGTGACCGAGACGCGCGAGGCTCGTCTCACTGGGCACAGAAGAAGAGTCCGCAAAGGAACCCACAGCTGCCGGGAATGTTTGTTTGTGGGCCAAAGGCTTTGACGGGTTAGCACTGATTATGTGGCTTAGGTCGACGACGGAAGATACGATGTCAGTTCGTCACGTCCACTGACTCTGTCTGTGTAACTTGTAGTGCCAGGGGGACTCCCTGCGTCAGTCAGGATCTCGTGGAGATTGACACTGACAGATCACCTTCGGAAGAGCCACCACGGGAAGACGGAGAAATTTTGGACCGTCTAAAACGGCTGGAGGAGATTGTTCAGACCCTTGCTGGAGAGATTAGGGGGCTCTCGAACTCATTAACAGCTAATGGGAGACCTGCGAGCTTGGAAAGTTCACAACGAACTACCCTGCCACCCTCACGAGGAGCTCGATCCAATACCCATACGACGATCGATGATGTTCCCAGTTCGGGGACCGTGGAAGAAACTCCCATGGGAGCCATGCTGGGCATCCGGGACATCCTGGACACGCCTCAACCATCTCAAGTTGAAAGACCGGTGCACAACCCTCGATATCTCAAGCACGAAAGGCTCCGCATCACATTATTTGATCTCCTACCACCCCCCGAGGTTACGATGGCATTGGTGGTAGCTAGCCCCGGAGCAACACTGGTTTCTACGTTCTTCCACACATCCGAAGAGATATCCCAGGGCCGGTTTCAGAAGCTCACAGCCATCGCCATGCACTCTTTCAGAGAGTCTCACCCAATCGTTCTTGCGAAGCGGCTGCTGCAACTGGCAATTTGCGTGCAGCAACTCCCACCTGAATGTAATTGCCTATCTCTTGAAAACCAAACGTCTCTGAAGGGCGCAGCTGCGGAGAATGTCACCACCGTCATGGAGCTGGTGACTTCGCGTGATGACCTGGTTCATTCCCCCGATGGCGTGGAATGTCTTGTGCTGCTTGCCTTATTTCAGCTTAATGCTGGAAGCCTGCGACGGAGCTGGTTGACTGCTCGTCGCGCTGTCAATGTTTCACAGCTTCTGAATTTACGCAATGGAATCCAAACGCACGTCCCCACCCACGATAAGACCGTTCCTCCTGGGATGGGAGTCTCTCCCCGGTGGCTATGGTATCGCGTGGTATTTTTCGACAGATACCTTTCGTTATTGCTTGGTCGACCCCCAGATTTGCAGGATAATAGTTTTGCAGATTTCACATCTAGTAATAGCCCGGACACGAAGATGGAACGGCTCGAAAAGACCCAGACAGTTCTCACCGGGCGCATCCTCGAGCGCAACGCAATGATCAAAAAAGATGATCACGCTGCCTTCTCGTTAACCCACCTCATCGACGGAAAACTCGATACAACAGCCGAGGAAATGGGCTTGGAGTGGTGGAAGCTGCCTACAATCAAGAAGCAGGACCTGAATTCCAGCTCTCATGTCTTGCTCCAAATTCATCACCACACGTTGAAACTCTATCTTCACCTACCTTACCTGCTTCGGCGTGAGTCTAGTTTTAGTAGTGGTCGACAAGGCGGACGCTACGACCACAGCCGGGCCTCGTGCGCCACATCCGCCCGATCGATCCTGCGACTGTTCGTCCCATACCGTACGCTCCATCCCTCAGCCGCTGCTTGTCGTCACGTCGACCACAGTACGTTAATCGCCGCTATGACGCTGTTACTGGGGTACGTGGCTGACCAGCCACCTCACCTCGAGGCAGGCCACCCCAACCCGGACGCGCAGCGGCGAGACGACCTTCAACTAGCACAGAGCGCTCGGGACAGGCTACACCTCGTAGCCGAGACGTGCAAGGACAAAATCTCTCGGGGCTTTGCAGCTCTCATCGCGCGGTTGATCCCCCTCATACGTTCCAGAGATAGTGGTTTTAGTCGGAGGGGACTAGGTTTTGGCGGAGATCCGGAAAGGCCATGGATCACCTTTTATGTTCCGTACCTCGGAACTATTTATGTTCGACCGTGGGCTCTGAATTCCATCAATGTCAGCATAGACCGGGTCATGACCACGCTGTCGGAAGCTAACCCTGGGATCAATCCCCAGGAATCATCGTATGACATCAATTGGCCAGCCATGAGCAGCAGCGGCTCCGCCAGGCCAGTCGAGGACCCGGACCTCGTACCGAGAAGCTTTTCATTCACAACAAGACCGGACCTTTCTTCCACGCGGCAGGCCGAGAATACCATTTCCCAGGATGCACCTGGAGACGTATTACAGGCAGATGATGATAGTAGCGCTGCATCTGAGCCGTCAGCGCCTCCATTCTTCGATGCAGATCTGTCCCCCGAAATATGGCCTCTGCAAGGTATTGAGACAAGCTTTTGGGAGTTGTTACAGCAGGGAATAAGTGATGATTTTAGCACCTGAGGATATCATGGCCCGCCAGACTTTGGTCTCCCACGACACAGTAGTATTTTCTCAGCCGAGTGATGATAGTGATCGCCGTTTCTGGTATGATAGTATGGAAACTGAACTGTCTATGAAGGGTTACCTCTCGAGATGTAAGAACTCATGCACTGCAAATCCGAGTTCCCATTTAATGATTACTTGCTGACACAAAAGATGTTAGAAAATCAGAGGCCCTATGGTTTATTCCAGAAAGTCCGAACTCCCCTAGCAAACAGGTTAACGTGATAACGGTATTCATCAAGAAATCATGAACTGTTCACTCCTCCACTCATCAAATTCAACGCACTCCCCGCCCGGAAATACCCAATCTGCTCCTCAGTGAACGTATGCTGCAATTCCGCTTCCCAAACATCCCCTTGAGCTGGAGTCACCTGCAGCGTCAAGTTCGTCCCCGGCGCCAACCCCGCCAAACCGCGGATACTCACACGATCTGATGCGTGAATGCGATCATAGTCGGCCTCATTTGCAAACGTCAGCGCCAACATACCCTGCTTCTTCAGATTTGCCTCGTGGATCCGGGCAAACGACTTCGCGATGATGGCCACCCCGCCTAGGTAGCGCGGCTGCAGCGCGGCGTGCTCGCGCGATGAACCCTCGCCGTAATTGTGGTCGGCGATGACCACCCACGGCTGGTCATGGCTCTTGTAGTACCGCGCCGTGGCGGGGACTTCCTGGCCTTCCTCGCCGGTGAGCTGGTTGCGGATGGAATTGACCTGTCCTGTCTCGGCATTGACGGCGCCGATCAGTGTGTTGTTGGAGATGTTCTCCAGGTGGCCGCGGTAGCGGAACCAGGGGCCTGCAGGAGTGATGTGGTCCGTTGTGCATTTGCCCTTTGTCTTGATGAGAACGACACAGTCATCGAAGTCTTTGCCGTGCCAAGGTTCGAACGGGGCGAGCCGTTGCAGGCGCTGGGATGATGGCGAGATCTTGACCTCCAGGTTGTCTCGCTTGCTTGGGGGAGCGAGGTAGGCGGAGCTGGATTCTTTGTAGCCGTCCTTGGGGAGGGCGTCGCCGGTGGGAGGCTGGAATTTGAAGGTCTCGCCTGAGGGGGTGGTGAGCGTGTCGACTGTGGGGTCGAACGAGAGATCTCCGGAGAACACCTTTGCCATCACGAGCTCGGGTGAGGTGAGGAAGATGTGCGTGGCTGGGTTAGAGTCCAGCCGGCCGGAGAAGTTACGGTTGTAAGAGGTGATAATCGAGTTCGGGGTGCCCTATACACTGTTGGTTAGAGCTGGGAGATCGATGCGATCCACGACGGAACTTACCTTGGGCATGTCAGTGCGGTCCCAGGAACCACAACACGGTCCACATGCATTAGGCAGCATGACTGCCCCCAGCTTTTTAAAAACGGGCAGAATACCGGCATCCTCGATTGTGTCGCGGGTCTGCAAACTTCCGGGCGAGATAAGAAGAGGCATCTTCGGCTGGAGACCGGCATCGAGTGCCTGTTGAGCCAGATGCGCCGCACGTCCCATGTCTTCGAATGAGGAATTGGTACACGAACCAATCAGACCAGCTGTCAATTCAGGCCACTGGTGCTCTTCAGCCGTCTGAGCGAACTTGGATAGTGGAGTAGAAAGGTCCGGCGTGAATGGTCCATTGATGCGAGGCTCCAATGTCGACAGGTCAATATCAATCACCTGATCATACTCTGCACCCTCGTCCGCACGTAGTTCTGGCGCAACACTTCCCACTGCGCGAGCCATGGCACTGCGATGGGTTGACCGGAGGTAGTCTGCCATTTGGGGCGAGTAAGGGAAGATTGACGTCGTCGCGCCAGTCTCTGCACCCATGTTACACACCGTCGCCATTCCAGTTGCGGACAGCGTCTGGGCACCAGGCCCGAAGTACTCAATGATCGAGCCTGTGCCGCCCTTCACTGAGATCAATCCTGCGACAGTACTGATGATATCCTTAGGGGAAGCCCACTTCGACAACTGACCGGTCAGTCGTACCCCCAGCACCTTGGGCGCTTTCAGCTCCAATGGTAAGCCTGCCATGACATCGACTGCGTCGGCGCCTCCCACGCCGATAGCGATCATTCCCAGTCCACCAGCATTCGGGGTGTGCGAGTCCGTTCCGATCATCATCCCGCTGGGGAAAGCATAATTCTCCAAAACAATCTGGTGGATGATACCGGCTCCCGGCTTCCAGAACCCCATGTTGTACTTCTGACAAGCACTCTCCATGAACTCATAGACCTCACGATGCGCCTCCAGCGCACGGGGCAGATCTTGGTCTTCTCCGTCACGACTGACGATCAGATGGTCGCAGTGAACGGTTGTGGGCACGGCCGCCGCGTCCATGCCAGCCGACATAAACTGGATCAGAGCCATCTGAGCGGTCGCATCTTGACAGGCAATGCGCAGGGGTCGCAAGCGGAGTTGCGACTGTCCGCGTGTAATGGGTTCGTCGAAACTTTCGTCGAGATGGCTGTAGAGCACCTTTTCCGAGTATGTGAGGGGGCGCTTGAGTCTGCAGAAGTCAGCCGATTCCTCAATTCTCAGACATGCATTGTAATCGCTGCCTACCGATCTCTCAGGTTTGCGACTTTGGAAGGAAATTGCTGCAGATCGACCGTCTGGTGTTCCAGGCGACTGAGGGGTGCTGTCGCATGCGAGGCGAAGCCTCGGGCTAGCTTGGCTGACTTGTTCAGTCGGGCGAGTCTTAACATTGATGACATTGTCTCATTCTCTTGTTACTAGTGTTATGCAAGGAAAAAAGACGGAAAAAAGAAGCTTATGACCGTTGCGTACGCGGTTATTCATTTGCTTTAAGTTCGTGATGATTCGTTCGTGGAATCGGATACATCCGTCGGCTGTTCCGATGAGCGGCGATTAGAGTCTTACGTGTGCAGAAAGCTTAATGTTGTGAGTGGACATCACGTAAACATGGTTTTTTGAGCCCTGGGAAAGCTATCTAGAATCCGAGTAATAAGTTCGGCTTGATGAAATCACTAAAATGGCATCGTAGGATTTCTTGTAGCGTGAGCGGTTTCTCTGAGAAGTTTTACGATTCCTCGTATTCGGCCAGATCCGCTGTCGGAGAACATGAGCAGATTTCCCAAATTACACAGATCTGATATAGTGCTACCTTGTATGCGCTGGCATTCGGACGAGAGAGATAAGTAAAAGCAGAAGAAGATACAATGTTGGAAGACAGACATCATGTGATTGCTATGTGTATTGCTTCCCTTTGCGGACTTTCCTCCCCCCACCCTGCCTTCTTCCATTCTCACTTCCTTCACCATACATTCATCCTTCTTTCAGAACTCCTCGGTCTCCCCTATCTAAAAAGACCATTTTCAAACGAACTCGCGCATCTCTACATCACCAGCCGCATCCTCCTTTCCTTCCTCCACCTGAGCAACAGACTGCTCACCCTGCGGCAGGCCCCGAGCCTGGCTCACCACCTTCCAAACCGACGGCGCAGTAGCAAACACCTGGTCCAACATCTCGAGGTTCCTATTCTTCGTCTCGGGATAGAACAGATACACACAGATTGGGATCGTGGCGGAGATCAGCGCATAGATCACATAATACCCATACCCGATGGTATCGATGGCGACCGGCGTGACAAGGACAACGACCAGGTTCCACAGCCAGTGGTTGGCCGTCGCCAAAGAGGACATGGCGGCCCGCAGTCGCCCGGGGGCTACCTCGGTGGCATACAGGAAATTGCCGCCCATGAAGCCGATGGGATAGAAGAAATTGAACACGAACATGAAGGCGACGTACACGATCGCCTTCGTGTGTGTGATGGTCCCCAGGCCGGTGGTGATGGCCAGCACGGCCATACACACGGCCATCCCGCCCCCGCTGATCATGAAGCTGAGACGACGGCCCCACCGGTCAATCGTCCAGCAGGGTATGAAGCAGCAGATGCACTTCCACATCAGCACGCACGCGGCGAGGATTTTGGCGGTCGTGGGGGTCATGTTGAGGTAGTTTTGGAAGATGGTGGAGCTGTAGACCGAGATGAGGTTGCCGCCGCAGGCCTATGAAGTTAGTTGAGACGCTTGGGATCAGAAAGAGGGGAAGGGGAGGCCTTACCTGCTGAAAGAAGTTGAGTCCCATACAGAGAAGGAAACGGTAGAACAGTCGGTCCTGGTCGTCTTTGCGGAACATGTCCTTCAAGGAGGCTCTTTCGGTGCCCTCAAACGAGAGTTCTATCCCGGCGAGCTCACGCTGGACCATGATATCGGTTGGTTCTTTCCCGCGATACTGCGCGAGGCTGATCATCGCTTCTTCCCGTCGGCCCTTGGAAGCCAACCAACGGGGGGACTCGGGAAAGGCAAAGACAGACATCAGTAGCACTGCAGAGAAAAGGAATGGGATGATGAGAGGAGCTCGCCACTGCATCGTCGATGATGAAAGGAAGCTGAATCCCAGGTCGACCCAGTTGCACAGCCAATAGCCAGTACTGATGAAGATGCCGACACAGACGACTTGCTGTCCTCGATCCTTGGACGAGGCACATTCTGACTGCCATACCGGCACGGTGCCGCTTGTCTGGCCGATTGCAAACCCAATAATCACCCTGCCGACTATCAGCTGAGCAAGAGTTGTTGCTGAGCATTGCAAAGCCTGGCCGATGAACGTGATGATGGCTGCGAGGAAGATGACTCGCCGCCGACCCAGCTTTTCAGCGTAGAACGACAACGACAGCGCGCCTATCATAGCGCCTATCTGGAACGAAGCATTGCAGGCTCCTTGAGACGTGGAGTTGTGTGACTTTTGTGCCCCTGAGGTATCAATTGTGTCGATCTCAGGGAACACGTCCACCCAGCTGCGCAGACTCAGCAAGCTGCCCAACACAGCCTGGTTGTATCCAAAAAGAATATAGGATGGTGCAACCACCAGAGCCACCAGTGCAATTTGAAGCCGGAGCCCGACAAGGGGGATGCGGAAGTAAGTCATTTGAAGAGCTGGTCGAATGCAATCTTGGTTTCTGGGTCAACAATTGTGCATGCAGGAAAATCTGGGGTCCGGGGTACTTGTACTTCCAGACTGGGGAGTGCGGGGGACCGAACGTGGCATTACAACGTCTCCCTCTTCGTTGGACCGCAGAGTAAAAGGATCAGCACATTATCCCCGTGGGGTGGATAGCAATGACCGGAAGCATCCGACGCGTGGCGATATGGAGTCGAACGGGCTCATTCCGATGGCCTCACCGGCCAAACGAAAGGTAGGGAAACCAATCAAGATCCGGCAGCTTGCGAAAACTTTATTTGAAGGGCAACACAACCGATACTCTACTGAATTGGTCTAGCTTCTGGTTCCGAACCTCTAGTCATACTCTATCCTTGGTACACGCGCCGTGGGTTCTCCACCATCATCTTCTGCCATGCCCCGGGACCCATCCATGCACTAAGGTTGCGAAGAACACCCTCGTTATCGATCTCTCGGAAGGGTTCTTTGACATCTACTGTTTTGCCCAGTCGATCGTGCCCTTCTCCGGTGTGCGGCCAGTCGCTGCCCCATATAAGCTGGTCAGGAACCTCGCTAGCAAACATCTTGACGATGGATTGCAAATCGCCGTAATTCGAGCTTGTCTCACTCGACATCCGGTAAAGACCTGAGATTTTGATTATTACACGAGCCTGTCTCGCCAGCGATAATAATGATCCTAGCCCGGGCTGAGCCATCGGCTTGGAACGCAACTCGACCGGCAGCTTGGACGGGCCAGCGGTCCCACCAAGATGGTCTGCGATGATTGGTACTGGGAGCTCGAGGATGCAGTCATGTAGTACTGTCGCTTCATAAGACTAGGTTGTCCAAATGGAAGATATATGACATACCGTCCCATGCCGAAACTGGAATGAACATTTGGATCATCCAGCCAGGCAGGTGCTGAATACGCTCCGCAGCATGTCGAACTCTATCCTTCAGACTTGCGACATCTACTCTGTGCCCGTCCGCCTGGAAGTTCAGACGTATGCCACGGATACCCAGGTCATGCATAGCTTGCAATTCCTGGTCCGTCACGCGGGAAATGTCAATGACCGCGATTCCAAAAGCAGGGATTTCCCGGTCGCGTAGTTCGTGCAGACACTGCATCAATACGGTGCAGTCTGTCTTATACGGCGATGGCTGGACCAGTGCCAGTGTGGTATTGTTGGCGCCAGAGATGGCATTGTTGAAGGCGAGCAATTCTTGTAGAGGCGCATCTTCCGGCGTATAGGCTCGACCGGCCGCATAGGGCCCCAGTCGGGGATCAAAGACGTGTACATGAGTATCGAAAGCGCCTTGGGGAAGGCGAATTCTTTGGATCTCAGTTCATGGGCTGGAAACTGGTTGGTTGTCAACTTACTGGAATGCCGAGCTCGAGCTCTGAGAATTGGTCGATTGGATGGACATCTTGCCCATACGCTGCTGACACGGTTTAAGTCTTGTCACTAACTGAAGCTTGATGGTACGGCTGAGTCTGAGCATAACTAAAGCTTTGTCCGAGTTGTTCCCTAACACTTATCTAAGTCAGATATTCCGACCGAGTCGGACGGGTTTTCCGCGTAACCGACGCAAGGGTGAAACGGGGCCGACAGGTCGTGCTGTACATGCGTCGGATACATCCGAAACGCCCGCGGAGGTCGGAGATGCAATGTATGTATAACAATGTGCGAAAGTCACCAATGAAACAAGATGAGTTTTTGCCCTAGCCAAGCAACATCTCAGCACAATGGAGCCCGTCACCACTACCAGCACGCCTGTACATCGCCAGGATGTTACCGAGCAGAGACGACCCATCCCTTATAGAAACTTGGCCGTCGGGGCGGCCATGAACATATTTCAGGGTACCTATTCATCCCAATTTGTATTTCAAATTCCGTCAGCTCACGACATGCAGTGACCTCACTGGGCCAGCCTCTGGAAGTAATCAAGACGCATGTATGGTGTGATCTCAATGAAATTCCCGGTGTATACTGACGCCATAATCCAGCTCGCTGCCAACCGTCAAGATACATTGCCCCAAGCGTTCAAGAAAACGTGGTCACGTGGTCGCTTCCTGGCTTTCTATCAAGGGCTGATTCCTTGGGTATGTACAGTAGTCCACTCATCCTTACCGCCACTTCCAGTCTTCCGTCTGGGATAGCTGCATACTTGTTCCCACCCCGCTTTACACCCGCCGTCTGTCCCTAACCAGAGATACAGGCCTGGCTCGAAGCCAGCACGAAAGGCGCCATCCTCATCCTCACGGCCAGCGAGGTCGAGTACCACGCCCGCACGCGTCTGGGCGCCTCGCCGACGCTGTGCGGGGTCCTCGGCGGCATTAGCGGCGGCGTGGCCCAGGCCTACCTCACCATGGGCATGACCACCTGCATGAAGACCGTGGAGGTGACGCGGACGAAGATCGCCGCGGACGGCCTCGGCAAGCCGCCCGGCACGGTCGAGATCTTCCTGCAGATCCTCCGCAAGGAAGGCATCCGCGGCGTGAACAAGGGCGTCAACGCCGTCGCCCTCCGCCAGGTCACGGGCTGGGCGTCGCGGATTGGCATCTCGCGCTTCGCGGAGGAGACGATCCGCTCGATGCGCGGGAGAGGGAAAGACGAGAAGCTAGGGTTTGGGGATAAGATCCTCGCGTCGACGATCGGTGGGGCGCTGAGTTGCTGGAATCAGCCTTTTGAGGTGAGTTTCATCCCTTTTCTTGATGGGGGTTTTCAGGGGGAGTGTTGGTCAAAGTGGGAGATTGTAGTGTTATGGGAGGTGGTGGTCGTGAGCTGACATTCTGTTTTTTGTGTAGGTCCTCCGTGTGGAGATGCAGTCGATGAAGAAGGACCCGTCGCGGCCGGTTTCGCCGACTGTGTTCTCGACGTTCAGGCATATTGTTGCTACGTCCGGGGTCAAGGGGCTCTTCCGGGGTGTGGTGCCCCGGATTGGCGTCGCCGCTTGGGCGACGATCTGTATGGTTGGGTTTGGGGATACGGTTAAGGAGTATGTTAATCGGTTGTGATTTGGGGCAAAGGATTAGATTATCTTAGGTCATTTGTTGCGATTATATGTTTGTATTGTTTCGCAATGCGTAAAGCCCAGTCTTCTGAGTCTTCTTTTTGAGTTGGTGGTGAATGTTCAGCTCGTGATGTCTTGAGACCCTCATCCATTGACATACATGGCACGCAACATGTGTTGCTGGAGTATATTCCGGCGTTTGACCAACCGTTATCCATGGATAGGACTTCATATACAACATCCACCATCTTAAAACCACAGAAACAATTATTTTCAATAGTAGTCAGGCAGCTATGTGACACAGTCTTATGAATATTTTCTGGTTATAGGATGGAATAGGATACTCGCCATCAGAGCACGGATTCTGCGCGACGCCACACTGAAAAGTCGATGAGTCAGCCACCAGCCACAATTCGGCTTTCGCCCATCATTCCGGGATGTCGTTCCTTCCATCGTCCATTCCAAGCTGGAGAACGTCGATGACTGCGAAAAATTAGATTCCCCGATACCCGCCAGAATTCCAAGAATGCAAGACTGAATCTGTGAACATGACTGAAGACTCTCCAAGCTCTGTTCCGCGCCGCCACCGTCGCGGTCTCACCCGCAGCGCGGCCGCCTGCCAGCGGTGCCGCAGGCGGAAGCAAAAAGTTAGTCGTGCACCTGCCCTCTGAGATCAGATCGACCCACTCACTGGTATGACAGTGCGACGGAAGACTACCGACATGCGGTCCATGTGCTGCTGCCGGGACGTCCTGTGTGATGTCGGACCGGCTTGTGGTCCGCCCTGGCGATGCGCAATGTGAATGTGACGACCTGCGAGCGCGCCTGGCGACCGCGGAGCGACGGTGCAGTGACCTTCTGCAAGAGAACCAGCGGCTCCAGGTGCAAATCATGGAAGCCTTCCAGTCACCTGGACCGGTCGCTCATGAGCCCCGGACGCCGATGCTGTCCGCCGTGGCAAAGGAGGCAGGGCATAGCACCGCCGGCTCAGGGCCTCAGCCACAGCACATCCCCTTAGACGGGACGACAAACTTGGCCCGTCAGTACTGCGAGCGCATCCTGCGTCCGACTTTCGCCAATCGACCTGGTATGCAAAAGGTGAATCGCAGCACGCTGAGTGGCGCCTGGGAATTGTGGGGCGACGATACGAGCGTGGAAGTGCCCCTGAGCAGCGCGGTCGAGATCGGCCACGAGACGTATGTCAGTCTTGCTGAGACCTTCTTCGATCGGCGGTGGCCGTACCTCCCTGTCCTGCATCGGCCGACGTTCTGGGAGCAGCACCTCAATCCGTTCTTGGCACACCCCGAGGCTCGCTCCATCTCGAGGTTTTTCGTCAAGATTGTGTGTGCAATTGCTGCTACTGAGCGGTCTTGCCAATTATTGAGTAACGATGATATGCATCGGAAGCTCTTCAAAGATGCTGTCAAGGACTTGGAGCTGATTACGGAGGCTGGCGATCTTGAGTATATCCAATGCCTGCTGCTGCTCTCAATGTATGGGCACAATGAGCCCCAGTCGGTCAATATGTGGTATACCACGGGAATGGCGCTGCATTTGGCCATCGGAATGGATCTACATCGCAAGGAGAGTCTGATGGGACAGGACGTGCTGCAGGCGGAGATGATGAAGCGGATCTTCTGGTGCGCCTACGTGATGCAATGCAGTATGGCCATCAACATGGGTCGGCCCTTGATGATCGAAGACTCGGATATCACGATTGCTTTGCCACTCCAACGAACAGACCAACAACTGAGTGATCAGATGGCTGGGATCGACGAGCTCACAATTCCGAGCGTGACTGACATGTCCACCTTCAATCATATCATCGCACTTCGCCAGATCAACGCCGGGGTCTACAAACAATTCCACCCCAGAGGCGGCGTAGGGGCGAACCGATCGGATCTAGACCAACTACGAAATCAGTACAACTTTGAACTAAACCAGTGGTTAATCACTGCTCCGCGATATGTCCACAGCCTGTCAACCTTCCAGTCGACCGAATGGTTCCAGATCGCTTTCCATCACGCGATGCTCTCCCTCTATCGCCCTTCCCGGGCGATCCCAATTCCTCTGCCTGACGACCTACGCATCTGTCTCGAGTCTGCGATCGGACTCATTAGTTCGTACAGCGCGCTGTATGCGCGGAACCGCATTAAGTACACCTTTGTCGCGATCCATTCGCTTCTGATGGCCGCGGTGACCATGCTGTACTCGCTGCGAGCTTCTGCGTCGCTGCGGCAGGAGTTGACCAAGCCGGTCGTGCAGACCAATATCCAGACTTTTCTCACTCTCTTTCGTGGGATATGCAACGGTCGCGAGGTGGGCGAGAAGTGTTCCCAGATCGTCGAGCGGCTCGGGAACTCCATCTTGACGCTCTATGACGATACCGGTCGCACGGACGCAGAAGTCGATACCGAGTTCCAGTCGTGGTTTGGACTCCAAACGCATACGCCTGCTCAAACCGATGAGGCGCAGTCGCACACGATATCGCCGCATTTCCCCGACGTTCGGGTGGATCTGCCGTGGGCGGACCTGTTCACGGAAGGTATCAACATGGCTTCCACGGATGTGTGGAGCATCTTTTCTTAGAGCTCTGATCTGAGCATTTCAAGTTCAAGAATTTCAAGAATTTCCAAAATGATGAGAAATGTGCCAGGTCCCAAGGTACTGCTCCATAAGGGCCCTGGGGTTGTCTGTCAACGATCGCATGTCCGGGTACTTCAGATTATCCGGAAAATGACCACAAGGTTCATTGAGTGTCCGCGCGCCTACAGTTCCTCAGGCTCGAATCATGTTGCGCTCGCTATTCAGATCTCGTGACTCGCTGGATCAGCAGCCCGGAATTCTGCAAGCCGCGGGCTTTATGGAAATCCCGACCGTCAGCCTGCCTCTTCCTTCATATTAGCCGAAAACGGGCAAGAGCTGAAAACTAAGCGAAGGAATACGAGCGGGCGAGCAGGATCCTTTTCATTCCGAAGGATTATTTTCTGCGACGAAAGGCCCCCCGGATTACCGGTAATTTACGGGAAGCTTACAATGCTGCAATGCGCGCAGGGGCGGCGGCTGGGGTGGGATCTTGGTACGCGCCACGTAACCAGTACGGCCCGCCGGTGCGGGCCGGTTCTATCCAAAGACGGGGACTTCGCACACAAAATCCACCAGTACGCACCGGTTTAGTTGCCCGTCGCTGCAGTAACGTTCCGGTCTGGTCGAATCAAAGTCATCAAAGTCGAAAGAATAGTGGTCTTATGCGGAGTCAGAGTCAGGTTCGGGTTGAGTCTATGCTTGTTTGGGACCGACGCGGGGCCGCACATTAAGGCCCGGTTGGCTGTATGCTGTATACATCGTACGGTTGCTGATGCAGTTAAGTTATCATGGAAGGCCCTTTCCTCTTCGCGATCCCGCGTCTGATAAGATGCCTTGATTCATTTTATCTGAATATAACCTGGGAAGAACGAAGTGATTGATGTGCCAAATTTTTGATGAATTATCTCCCCCAGACAGCATGAAGTGCAAGAGCGATCAATAACTTGTTCTCTGCATGAAAGTCTCAATCTTGATTAAAGCGACTCGCATGGCGAAAATGATCGGCCAGGGAAACAAAGAAGACAGCCGCAGAATCAATCGGAAACCAAAATCAAAGTCAAAGTCAAACAGTCTATAGGCCCAAGCGACAAGAAAAGACAAGAGATGAAAACAGAACACCGAATGCCAAAGTAGAAAAAGAAGGAGAAGAAGATGGAGTCGTCATGTTGTTGTGTGGTTGCTCATCCCATCCCGCTGTTCAAACAGCGAGCTTGGTCCGCGACAACTTGCCGCCGGGGCCGTATCCCTTGTCCGCCATCTCGATGAACAGATCCTCCAGGGCCTCCGGGGTGTCCTTGACTTCGTGGCCGAGCTCGCGGAGTCGGTTGATCAACTTGCTCGAGTCGAAGACCGGGTGGCACCGCGGCGCCTTGAGCACCTTGTGCATGTCGTCCAGCTCGAAGTTCTCCCAGTTCAGCGAGGGCTCGATGTACTTCTTCATGAGCGTCATGATCTGGTTGTTGGTGAATGGCGAGGGGGAGATCTGATTTCCCTCCATTAGTATGGGGACGGGGGTGATTGTTAAGGTCAGAGGAAGCAGGGAGCGCCACGCACCAGGTTGTAAATGCCCGTGTCACCGGCCTGGGACAGGAGAATCGCGCCGGGCAGAAGATTGGGGAGGATGGTTCCGGACTGTGTTTGTGCGTGCGTGTGTCAGTCCATGAGTCTTTTTTTCTCGAAGATGGAATCGAAGCATACCGCAGGCAAGTTCACCAGCTTCTTATAGCTGATCAGCTTGGTGGTCAAGTTGTTGGGGTTGAAGTCGGCCGCGATCGGGGCGCGGATTCTCAAGAGGAGGAGGTTGGGATAGTGCTTGATGCTCTGTTTTTGGGACTGGTTAGTACTTCTTTTTTTTTTTTTTCTGGATTCTCCCAGGCCGACGCACATTCTCGCTCAACAACCGCGAGCACGAGTACCAGGACCCGGCGTAGTTGGGATCATCCTCCTCGGTGAAGTTGGCGTCCGGGGCGCGGGTCGGGTCGGTGTCATAGATACAGGCCGATCCTAGCTGAGTAACATGGATACCTAATTGGAAGCAGCAGTCGACTACGTTGAGCACACCTAGGATATTGGATCGCACCGTCTCGATCTTGTGGTCCTCACACCAGTCGGCGTTGGGGAGCCCGCGCAGGCCCGCGCAGTTGATCACCCGCGTGGGCCTGTGGATGGCGAGCGCACTGTTTTGGGGGATGTCTCGAGAGGTTAGCATTCTGGGCCAAGTTTTTGGTCATGTTTTTGGTTGGTGGTCCCCACGGCGAGAATGGGATGGTTTTGTTTAAGGGGGGGGGGGGGGAAGGGGGATTTTTCTTGCGCACGTCAAAACTTGCTCGCGACTTTCAATTCGAGCATCAGAGGAAACCACTTTCACGCCTTGCTTCTCCAGGAGTTCCTTGATTTGCGTGGCGATCCAGCCGGTGCCTGTTTTTTTGGGGGGAAAGTAAGCCATTGATCTTTGTTTGTTAAGTAGAATTTGCACGACACTGGGAGAGGGGGGAACGTTCGCAGAGGTATATTACCGAAGATCAGGAAAACATGGGGCTGGTCAATAGCAATAGCCATGATGGTTGAAATTGGGCTTGTTTTTTTGGGGGTGGAGGGGAGGTTGAGGATTGGTTTGAATGAGGGAGGGGAAAAAGCGATTGATCGATCGGAGGGTTGATGTTAAATATGAGGGCTGTTGTGATTGTGGGTTGGATTGGAATGGGTTGATCTGCTGTGGATAGATGGATGTTGAAGAGTGCGAGCTGATCAGGACTCTTATATTCAGTAGCAATCGCAATGCGAGAGCATCATCTTTGCCACTTGGCGACGGAGGAGGAGCAAAGCCTAGCCTTGCCTGGTCTACCGCTTGCGTAATCTAAATCTGTGTTGACTCCGGTGGGCACGAGTAACCGCTAGACAAGTAGAACAGAGTAGAGATGACTGCGGATGGCAGGTTTGACTGGGGTTTTTGTGTCAGGTTGGGATGAGAGAGATGGATGAAATGAAGTGAAGTCCAGATTCAGGGAAATTGACTCTGACGTACTAAGTCAGAAGAGAAAGGGTGCCAGTCAGTCAGTCAGTCAGTCAGACCAGCCCAGCCCAGACCAAGAAGAGCCCCTCAGCACGTGGCGTCGCCCTAAGCGTGAGCCCTAGTCTATCCGCGGGGTATTCGCTGAAGATTCGCCTCCAGTTCTACTCGGAGTCATGCAGAGTCGACAGGAATCTCTTTCTGAGGCTGGAAGCATACTCAGCATACTCAGCCCACTCTTATTCCCTTTGCTTGGGAAAAAGACATCAAAGATGAAGCCATTGTTGGTTATAAAAACACCCTGGATTCGGCCCCTACCCTGGCCTTTTTCTTCATCATCATCATCATCCAGCAAAACAAGCTAAGGCAAGCAACAAAGCCTCAGTCTCAGAAAAACACTTCGCCTTCTTCTTCTTCTTCAGCTTTCACTTTAAGTACAGCCTTCATTTCTTCGTTCTTCTTGCAATCTCTTCAACCTTCTACCTTCACTTTACTCCACACATCAATCAAAATGCAGGCCAAGGGATTGTCTCTGAAGGTCGCTCAGCTCACCCCTCCCGAGAGCCCTCCCCCGGAGACCGTTGAGCTCGTCAAGCAGGCTATTGCCACTACTTTCGAGCCCTCCACCCACGAGGAGAGCCAGCGGCTTGTCGGTACTACCCGATTCGCCCCTCGTCGCGACATCAACAACATCCTCATCACCGGTGGTGCCGGCTTCATCGGCAGCTGGGTCACTCGTCACATGACCGTCCAGTACCCTGAGTACAACATCATCTGCTTCGACCGTCTGGACTATGTCTCCTCGATGGCCAACATCGACTGCCTGGAGTCCTTCCGCAACTTCCACTTCGTCAAGGGCAACCTGACCGACCGTGAAATCGTGGCCGAGACCCTGTCCAAGTACAACATCGACTGTGTGATGCACTTTGCCGCCAACTCCCACGTGCAGAACTCCTTCCTCGACCCTACCAGCTTCACTGTCAACAACGTGGTCGGCACTCAGACTCTCCTGGACTGCGTCCGCGAGCACGGCCGCGTCGCTCGCTTCGTCCACGTCAGCACGGATGAGGTCTACGGTGAAACCACCGACGACTTCGTCGACGAGACCACGCAGTTCCTGCCCACCAACCCCTACTCTGCATCCAAGGCCGCTGCCGAGATGTACGTCCACGCCTACGCCAAGTCCTTCGGCATCCCGATGGTCATCGTCCGCAGCAACAACGTCTACGGACCTTGCCAGTACCCCGAGAGTCAGTAGCCCCGTTGGTACTAAATCTGTAGCCCCAATCAGATAGCTAACCTCCCACATGCAGAGATCATCCCCCGCTTCTTCAAGCTTCTCTCCAAGAACCAGCCCCTCACCCTCCAGGGCAACGGTCTCCACAAGCGCCGCTACCTGTACGGCGCCGACGCTGCCGACGGGTTCGACACCATCCTCCACAAGGGTGTCGACGGCGAGGCCTACAACATCGGCTCGGCCTTCGGCGTGACCAACCTCGAGGTTGCCATCCGCATGCTCGAGCTGTTCGGCTTCGACCCCCGCTCCGACTTCAAGGAGCGCCTGGTCTGGATCCCCGACCGTCCCCACAACGACCTCGACTACCGCGTCGACGGCTCCAAGCTCGAGAGCCTGGGCTGGCGCCAGAACACCCACTTCGAGGATGGCCTCCGCGCCACCGTCGAGTGGTACCGCAAGAACATCGACGTCTGGTGGGCCGATGAGCCCAACAAGACCGTCTCCGCCAGCAGCACCAACGCCGCTCACATCGCCGCCCCGGCCCACCACCACCAGGCCCCGATCAAGGTCAAGAGCGAGAACGCCCAGGTCACGATCACTGCCACTGAGATCACTGCTTAGAGTGCCCGTCTCTCTGATGGAAAAGATGGAGGAGAAGTATACTACTAACCATGGAAGGAAGGCTTATAGACTTTTCTTTTTCCCACTCACAGTTTTCTGAAAGAAACTTTGCCCTGCGATAGATTGTTTGCGATACTCACTGATTGGCGATGATTTTTTTTCTATTCTTATTTTGGTTCGATCTTTGATTCTTGTTCATCTTTGACTGACCTATTTTGGCCTTACTTGCTTTATGGTTTCGATATTGTTTGCGATGATGATCTGTTTTGACTTTGCGTCTTGGACTTGCCCCCTGCTGATTCTTTTTACCCCGGGCCTAATGATCTCTCCTATGTTGTTTATGTTCCTTACTCAAGAAGATTAGATGTTTGTGTAACAATTCAATTCTTATACTTTGAGGATTATGGTCGGGTCGAGTTTGTAGCTTCTATCTTCTCTTGTACGCTTCCGGGCCGGCTGAATACAACTTAGCAGTATGTCCACTTAGTGAGAGATGGCCAAAACATTTAGAACCTGGCTTGCAGACCTGTCTATAACTATAGATAGTGCCTTCATAGATCAGGTTGTCATAATGAAAATATCTTTGCAATTATTATTGGGTTTCTGGCAAGTTTTGAGTTACCTAGCTGAGTTGTAGATTAGCTGGCCAGAGAGGGTATACACTCTAGCTTCTGAGTCGATACGAGCTATTGTCGATTTTTCATCAATATGTATTAGTTTCTGTTGGCTCGAGTAGCATGATGTGGAGTTGTAGGGATTGTTGGCTGTAGATTGATCCAAACATGGTGTGGTTGCTTGGTGGAGTGTACTTTACTTGGGCCGTGGGCGAAAATATAGTTGTGGTTTGGCCACTAATCTGAATATATATATATAAATACTGAGCATGTTTCGAGTCTTGTAATTTGTGAATCTTTGCTTGCAAATGAATTTAGATTCTCTTTTTGTATATCTACTGAAAGCTGATTGATATGTGAGATTTATTTCAGTGCGCAATCTATTCTAACAATTTTCTGTGAATTTGCAAGGACGGATTCTAGCGACCGGAATTCAAGAAACAGTGGCGCGTTCTTCAGGATATCTTCAGCTATCTCCTGAGTGCTACGCTAAGCTGTTTGTGTCTAATCAGCTATGCAAACAAAGTTATTCAGGTAGTCAATTTCACTAGGGATTGTGCAGGCGGCAGATTGGATCACGTGATCATGTACTTTTGGAAGTCGAAAGAGGGAAAGAGGAAAGAGGGCCGGGGGCTCTGCATTGTCCAACTCTTCAACACCGGCTTTGTTTCACTTTGACCCCTCAACATTGTCCCCTTGCCACCTCCACCCCACGTTCAGGGCTAGATCCTGTGTCGGACTCAGGATTTGGTCAGACTCTCCCGAGCGGGGTTGAAATTCCTTATCGTATCAACCCCGAAGTCCGCGCAAAGGAAGCGGAAGGGGGCGGGGTTCTTCCTTATCGGTCCGTCACGGTGGAATAGTCTGACACCAAAGACACGAAGGATCTGAATCCTTCCTTCTGCACCTTTGCCATTCATCCTTCATCCTTCCACCATCGAGCCATCATCATCCACTATGGTCAGTCAACTCAGCCTGGGTTTGACTCGACTCAACTCAACTCCGACTCGCACACACGATGCCGTTCTGTCGGGGCCTCTTGGGAGCCGCGAATCCCGTCAGCCTCGAGGCACCTGCAACGATCTCAGGTTATAAAGATGCCATTGCAGTTGGCCCATCTACCATGAAAAAATCATCATCGATCATCATCGCATTCTAATTCTAATACTCTAATCATTTCCCCCTTGCACTCTCCGAAGAGAGCATCCTAAGACAATCCATTTCCAGCAGATTAGTCCCGACAATCATCAACCACCACCACCAATCAAAATGACTATCAACTCGTCGGTCAACGGAACTTTCGATTCCATCCCTGCTTCTGCTAGCCATGCTCCCAACGGAAGAGCTGCAGGTGCCCGCCCCTCCGAGCCCATTGCCATCGTCGGTGTCAGTGGCAAGTTCGCTGGGTCGGCCAGCACCCCGGAGAATCTGTGGAAGATGCTTGCCGCTGGTGAGGGTGCCTGGTCGCGCATCCCCGAGGACCGCTTCGACGTGAACTCTTTCTACCACCCCGACAAGGACAGGGCCGGACGCGTGAGTAACCCTTGAAACACAATCCCCATAAAGAAAGGCATTCGGCGCTAACCATCCGAGACAGAACCACGCCATTGGTGGACACTTCATGGACGAGGATGTCGCCCTTTTCGATGCCGGTTTCTTCAACCTGCCCGCCGATGTGGCTAGTGCCATGGACCCTCAGCTTCGTTTGTTGCTAGAGTCGGTCTACGAAGCCATGGAGGATGCTGGTATCCCCATGGAGAAGATTGCGGGTACCGACACATCCATGTACACGGGCTGCTACGGCAAAGATTACCACGATCTGCACAGCCGTGATCCCGAGGCCATGCCCGCTCCTTTCCTCACGGGCAATGGTACCGCCATGCTTTCCAACCGTGTCTCCCACTTCTACGATCTTCAGGGTCCCAGTATGTCCATTGACACTGGTTGCTCGGCTGGTCTTGTCGCTCTGCACCAGGGTTGCCGTAGCATCCAGTCTGGAGAGTCCGAGCTGTCCATCGTTGGAGCCAGTACCACCATCTTGAACCCCGACTTGTACATCGCTATGTCTATGTTGAGGTATGTCACCCTCCACTTCATGATACCTGGATAGAGTACTGACAGAATAATAGCATGGTCGGCGAAGAGGGCAAGTGTTATGCCTGGGATGCTCGCGCCCAGGGCTACGGAAGAGGAGAGGGTGTTGCCACCCTTGTGCTGAAGTCTCTCGACGCCGCTATCCGGGATGGCGACCGCGTTCACGCTGTCATCAGAGAGACCGGATTGAACCAAGACGGAAAGACCCAGACCATCACATCTCCTTCGATCGACTCGCAGGTCAAGCTCATCCAACAGTGCTACCGCAAGGCTGGCCTTGACATTGCCGACACTGGTTACGTTGAGGCCCACATGACGGGTACTCCTACCGGTGATCTTGCTGAGGCCACTGCCTTGGCTCAGACCTTCGGAAAGAGCCGTCAACCTAACGACCCTGTCTACATTGGCTCTGTGAAGACGAACATTGGCCACACTGAGCCTGTCAGTGGTCTTGCAGCTGTGATCAAGACCATCTGGGCCATGAAGCACAAGCAGATTCCACGGAACATCAACTACGAGACACCCAACCCTAAGATTCGCCAGCAGGAGTGGAACCTCACGGTCCCCACCTCGCTTACTCCTTGGCCCCAGAACAAGGCTCTGCGTGCCTCGATCAACAACTTCGGATATGGTGGTACCAACGCCCACGTCATTCTCGACGGAGCTCCTGAACAGTTCCTTGATGCCAGTGGCCGTCAGATCGAGGAGACCTCCAGAGCGCGCGTCCACATCGTCAGTGCAAAGGATAAGGTTGCCCTGAAGGCTATGCTCGCCAACCTCGCGGAGTGGGCTCCCGAGCATCTTGATGACAGTGCTCTCGGAGATTTGGCTTACACTCTGGCTGAGCGCCGGTCCAGACTCCCCTGGATGTCGGCTGTGAGCGCTAGCTCCGTCACCGAACTGGCTGAACGCTTGAAGGAACCTACCATCAAGATGTCTCATGCCACCAAGAAGCCTCGTCTCGGATTTGTGTTCAACGGTCAGGGTGCTCAGTGGCACGCTATGGGTCGCGAGCTGATTGGAGCTTACCCCATCTTTGCTGAAAGTGTTCACAAGGCTGACAAGATCCTTAAGGGTCATGGCGCGACCTGGTCTCTGCACGAGGAACTTCTGCGCGACGCAAAGACCACCCGCGTCTCTGAGGTCAACCTGAGCCAGCCTATCACGGTCGGTCTCCAGCTGTGTTTGATTGATCTGCTCAGATCTTGGGGCGTCGAGCCATCTGCCATCACCAGTCACTCCAGTGGTGAAATTGCGGGTGCTTATGCGGTCGGTGCCCTGACGTTCTCGGAGGCTCTTGCTGCTGCTTTCTACCGTGGTGAGCTTGCTCTCCGCAACGAAGCCCTCAAGTCTCTTTCTGGTGGTATGATGGCCGCTGGTCTGGGTCAGGAAGAAGCCGCGAAGTACATCGCCGACACCGACAATGGCCGTGTCGTCGTGGCTTGTGTCAACTCACCCGGCAGTGTCACCCTCTCCGGAGATCTTCCTGCCCTCGAACAGGTAGAAGCTCGTCTACAAGCCGATGGTATCTTCGCGAGAAGACTCAAGGTTCCGCTTGCTTACCACTCGCACCACATGCTTTGCTTCGCGCAGGAGTACACTGACAGCCTTACCAAGCTGCTTGCCGCTCAGCCCAAGGACGGTGACTGGGTCAACAAGGTTCGCTTCGCATCCCCAGTCACTGGAAAGGTCGTCACCTCCGCCGAGACTCTGGGTCCCAAGCACTGGGCCGACAACCTGACCAACGCGGTTCTCTTCAGTCAGTCCTTCGACGCCATGTGCTTCAACGAGGATGGAAAGCGTGAGGTCGATATGATCGTCGAGCTTGGTGCCCACAGCACTCTTGCTGGTCCTATCCGCCAGATCCTCAAGCCCCGGGAGGAGATCCCCTACGTCTCCTGTTTGCAGAGAGGCATCAATGCTGTTGAAACCATGCAGAACGTTGCTTGCGAGCTTCTGAGCAAGGGATACCCTGTGTCCATTGAGGCTGTTAACTCTCCTCTTGGCGAGAAGCACCACTTCGTCCACGACTTGCCCACTTACGCCTGGAACCACTCGACCCGCTACTGGACCGAGCCTCGCGTGAACAAGGAGATCCGCCACAAGAGATTCGCTCCCCACGAGCTGCTTGGCAGTCTGCTTCCTGGTGACAACGGCCTGACCCCGACCTGGCGGAACTTCCTGCGTCTCTCTGATGTCTCTTGGCTCATTGACCACCAGATTGACGGCTCTGTCGTTCTTCCTGGTGCAGGCTACATTGCGATGGCGATCGAGGCTACGCGTCTCCTCGATGGACCCGCAGACACCATCACTGCTTTCCAGCTGCGTGACA